AGACATGTATTTCCCCATTTTTTAAAGTTGTCTGCATTTCCAAACACACAACCTCTCTGTTAATCTTCTTGGACCACGCACTATTGGAATTTGGGTCCTGACTTATATTTCTATTAAATCTTTATATATTTTTGGCAGATTTTCAGCACTTGAATAGCAAGTTGTGATTCTTAAATGTATTTTCAAAATTTATGTACAGTAAAATTTCTTTTTTGACGTACAGTTTTGTAAGGTTTGGCAAATACACGGATTATTTATCAATCACAATCAGGATACAGAACGGTTTTTATTCCCCCAAATTCCTTCATGCTGCCCTTTTATATTCCCCCCACCCTCATCCTTAACCTCTGATAACCACTATTTGCTTTCTGACCCTATAGTTTTGCCTTTTCCAGAGTGTCATCTAAATGGAATGCTATAGTGTGTAACCTTTTGAGTCTGGCTTCTTTCAGTGAACATAATGCATTTGAAATTCATCCACATTGTTCATCAATAGTTTCTTTTTTGTTGCTAAGTGGTATTCCATTGTATGGATGTACTTGAGTTTGCTTATTCACTCACCCAGTGAAGGATATTTGGGTTATTTACAGTTTCAGGCAGTTATAAGTAATTACATTTCATTATGAATTATGAAAAAATGGAAAATATATCCTATAAACATTTGCCTACAGGTTTTTGTGAAAACATGTTTTTGTTTCTTGGATAAATGCCTAGGAATGGAATGACTGGATCCTACAGTAGGTGTATATCTAACTTATAAGAAACTACCAAACTATTTTCCAAAATGGTTGTGCCATTTTGCATTCCTATTAGCCATGTATGAGTTAGTTGCTCTAAATTCCCTGATTTTTTTGCTTTCCTTTTTATTGTGTACGTTTAAAACATCTCTCTCTCATGATATCTATTTTAAAAATATCCATAAATGAATGTGATCTCTGCCACTAAAATATACTAGTCTGTTTTTTTTCTAGTGGTATTAAAGATTCTTTTAATATTTATTTTTTGCCCATATGAAATGTATTGACTACACACCATGCAGGATAGTGCCAGGCTATTTCTTTCCCATATTGATATCCGCTTGCCTAACAAGATGCTTGTGGATTGCTCCACCTTTGCCCATTTCGCAAATGTTGGCATTCTTTGGCTTGCTTCTCACTCTGCTATCTTCCCGAGTGGCTTTAAATCTTTTCCTGGAGTTTCAATCGCCATCTCCTGCAGAGCCGTCTGAGCTTCAGGCCTGGGACATTTCCACCTGCGTGTCCCTTAGGCACCAGGAACTCAACACATTTCTTCAAATTGTCCTCCTCCGTTCTCTATCTTAGGCAGGATATGATACCATTTTCCCAGTTGCCCAGGACAGAAAGAGAGGAATTATTTGTGACTCCTATCTCTTCCTGTTTCTCATCTTCAAACGATCACTGGGTTCTGTCAAAACATTAATCCATTTCTTCCCACTGTCTTGTATCTTCTTGCTCAGACCCCTTCGAGCCCTTCTGTACACTGGCCCAGGGTGATCTTGCAACACGCAAATCTGAGCTCGTCAAGTCCCAAAGGTTCCAATGGCTCCTCATTAGCAGGGAACACAACACATCACAACATCATTCAAGATGTGGTCCTTTTTTTTAAACAAAAAAAACCTCTCCAGCCCGCGCTCCTTTACCTGTGGGAATTCAGAAGCCAGATCTTGAATCCTGACTCTACCACTTACTGGTTTTTGACCTTAGACAAGTAACATCACCTCTCCACATACAACTGTACTCAAAGTTATACAATATAAGGAAATGAAAACATTTACATCACCGTTAGGAAGTTTGACTCCTAAGCTTTGTAAAAGATAGAAAACAAGTATCTTGTTATGTTTTTATTACAACCATACATCATGTTTCTGATTCACTTATTCTCTGGAGCCAGACTGCCTGGATACGAATCTCAGCTTCACCACTTATTAGCTGTGTTCTCTTTGGCAAGCTGCTTCACTCTGTTTCATCTGTAAAATAGGAATAGTCATATCTGCTTCATAGTCATTGTTGTGAGGATTAAAGGAGTTAATATATCTAAAAGTGCTTCCAACAATGCCAGGCACATAGTAAGCACCATTTTAAGCATTAGCAATTGTCATTTAACTAATGGGGAAGTCAGTCCCTAATTTCCCACCTATCCTTGGTGCCCTTCCAATGAATCCTGAACAACCAGCACTTTCTTCTATCACAGAAATCAGCACAATGTGTTGAAATTACTTTTCTCACCTACACCCCAAGATGTCTGAAAGATATTTCTTTGCCTCAAGCACTCTGGCCTCTAAGAACCCCCAAGCACTTACCCCTTTTTTGCTGTAGGGCCTTTTTCAGTCCCCCTACCCTGCCTTTCCAAATATCAGATATGACCCTAGAGGCAATCTGACTTGAGGAATACAAATGTTAAATGAGAATCATACCATCACAGATGGATTTTTTTGAGAAAATATTTTTTGCATGTACTCAAACCTACCGAATTTCTTGACCAGTTTTCTACACAGCATAGCAAAAACAATTTATACTTCTTCCATTTTCATTTTACTGAAATTATTTTCATTGGAAGTGTTTTTTTCTATTTAAATTATAAAGCAAGGAATTGATTCATCAATCAGTTCTTTGCGTATATTAAATTCTTCCAGTTACAGTTTTTACCATTGAGTTCCTCAGCATTAAAACCTAAATTTTATTGATGTAATTCTTCTATTAAATCTGGTTAAAAACTGTGGGCAGTTTTACTTTGTTAAATATTTCTATCAGGTCTAATTTTTCTAGGGTCAATTTTGGCAACTTTTAATCTTACAAGATGTGGTTCTTCAGTTAAGTTTTTCTCTTTCTAATACATTTATCACGTGCAGTGTTAGCTCTTCTAGTTTTATTTCTACAATGGAAATTCATTTGTTGTGATTTGGATAAACAATTGTTTGAATTCACTTCTTAGCTAAAAATGAGAAAACTGTAATTCTCCAGGACCATCCTTGAGGTCAAAACATCTCACCTCATTCCCCTTCTCCCTCAACTGTCTTAACATCATTCATTCCTGCTTACCCCTCAGACACCAGCTGAAGCAGCACTTGCTCAGGGAAGCCTCTCTTGCTCTCTAAGGCTACATCAAGTTTTCCTCTTTAAGCTTAGATAGTACATTTTTTCTTTCATCATACTTATTATAGAGTTTATAAATATATATTTCCATGAGTATTTATTATCTCCCTCATTCAACTCTGCTCCCTGACTTTTTCTTACCACTGGATCCCCGGCACATAAAAGGCACTCAAATTTATTGAAAGAACGATGAACTGGAAAACGGTATCTTAACTTTTCCCCAGTGCACAGATATGCATGACTAATCCTAGGCACTCATTAAAAGCTGTTTGCATTTCCTCCTTATTGTTTATTTCTGGTTTGTTATGGTCCAACAGATAATGTTGAACTATTATTTTTTAATACTAATTTTGAAAATTGACTTTTTAATGCTATAAATGTTTAAGCCTTTAATAGGCATGCTACTCCAGTAGTCTCCTCTTCCCTTCTCTACAGGGCTGCCACACTGTACACAACTCTGGGAGGGCACAGTGTATTCCACGGAGCAGGGAGTTGTTGGATGTAGTAGCAATGCATCCTCACCTCCCTCTTTGAAAGGAAAAGCATTCGGTCATTTAGTTAAGGCTGGTAATAGCAGTTTTAAACGCTAAGCTGTACATCAAAATCACATGGGATATTTTAAAAACAGAAGTGCTTGGGCTCCACCCTAAAATCATTGAGTCATAAAGTATTAAAATTTCCTATGTGACTGCAGAGCCAGGGTTAGGAAACACTGGGTTGGAGCACAGGATGGGTGTGGGAGAAGTGGTTAGACATTAATCTGGATAGGCAGGTTAGTGACAGAGTATTAAGGGCCCTGGACTCAACACTAAGGAATTGGAATTTAATTCTACATGTAGTGAGGAGGTTTTCAGAGGGTAACAAAATAATCAGATCTAAGAGAAAGGTTAATTTGGCACCAGTGTGGCAGAAAGGTAGGCAGGGTGTAGAGCCTGAGTGGGTGAGGCCAAGGGAGGAAGCTACAATGAGCCCAGGAATAGATGGTGAGGACCTGAACTAGGGTGGCTACAGTGCAAACAGGGAGGAAGGGAATGGGAAAGGACTCACAAGACATTTGCCAGAACTCCATAAATGGAATGTGTCAGGTGATTAAGAGGGAAAGTTAAAGACAACTCCAAGATTTCCAGGCTAAGCAACTGGATGCAATTTGATGATGCCATGAACCAAACAGAGAATACAAGGACAGAATGGAGCAAGTAGACAAAACAAATTCTGTTTCCAGCTATGACGAAACTGAAGTTCCTCATATAGGCCACTGTGGAGCTAAAATAGCAGGAAACTGGAAATTGAGATCTAGAGTTCAGAAGAGAGGCTGAGGCTGAAGTTTTAGGTTTGGGAGTCAACAGGGTATTTGGTAACAGTTGAGGCCACTGGAATGGATGAAACTGAACAGGGCACTGTCTATGTAGAATCAAAAGTGCCTAGCACAGAATTAAAGATAAATCAGGCTTTCTCATCCAACTTAAGCATATAATCTTAATCTTAATAAGGCTCAGGCAGAGCACCATTAAAAATAAGCAGAAGTTAATGTGAAGAGTAGATGATGATATATAAAAATTATCTGCAATCTGTAGGACAATTTTATTTTTTTGTGTGAGGAAGATCAGCCCTCAGCTAACATCCGCCAATCCTCCTCTTTTTTCTGCTGAGGAAGACTGGCCCTGGGTGAACATCTGTGCCCATCTTCCTCCACTTTATATGGGATGCCGCCACAGCATGGCTTGACAAGCGGTGCGTCGGTGCGCGCCCAGGATCTGAACCCGGGCCTCCAGCAGCGGAGCGCGCGCACTTAACTGCTATGCTACGGGGCTGGCCCCCTGTAGAACAATTTTAAATATGACTATTGTATCTCTGAACTTACTTAGAACACATTAATCTATTAGCTTGGAAAGACTGGTTTCTAAGTTTATTAAATAACAGATTAAGCAGGTTAGCGCCTCATCTGTGCTATCAGTATTCCCCTAAATGAAACAACCAGATATTTGGTGATCTACTTCCCACAATGTAAAGCCAATATAAATAAATTACTAAGCCAACTCATAAAAATACAACATGTACTTAATAAATGCAACTAATATCCAGAGATTGTCACTTAATCTGTGTCTTTGCACGTATGTGCTTGTGTGCCAGGCAGTTTTGTGTAATTTACTTAATTTTAATAATCCAAATTCATTATTGGGTCTGGAATTATTTCAACAGAAAGCAAATCAAAACTTCAGAAAAGAGTTCTAGGCCTTGCTACTTTCAGAGAGTGAATGAACCCGTCTAGAGTCTCTGAAATCCTCGTTTTTAAGAAGCACCCAGGTAATTATGACGCAGGGGGTTTAAGAACTATACTTTGAGAAATACTAGCTTATACCAGTTATACATTTTAACTAAGTCTTTTAAAAACATATTGAGAAATATTCATAGATTACAGAAAAATGTTTTCAATAACAGTGTTATATATGGGTTAAGTAGAAAATATATTTTCTTTATTCAAATCATGTTGACTTTCAGTATATTTTGAAATGACACACAAAGCCATAGCAAAGCTATATTTTTATTTCATCACATTCCACTCTAAATTCTTTACGATTTACCAAAAATAACTTTTTATAAAGCTTACTATTTTGTCTAATATTATACAGACTATCAATCTACACCTTTTTGTGTGTTTCTCTGAAAAATTAGAATAGCTTATGAGAATATTATATAAAACTAATTGGTATATTACACACCAAACATAAGTACAGATTCTGTACAATGTAATAATATACATATATATTACAAGAGACTAAATGCCTTGTTAAATGTAATAGTTTAAGAAATCTTTCATGGAAAAAATCTGCATCACAAACTGTGGTGGCTTAAGGATCAGCTGCTTTCCGCTCACGAATTTCTTTCAGTAGGCATTAATTGTCCATTTAGCTTCATTAACAGTTTTATCACGAGGCCAGCCTACAAAGTAAAATATATGTCAACAGTAAGTACGAAACATCTAAGAATGTGTAAATGACATACATGGCAGTGGGCAGTTCCCTATCTATTTGAAAAGTAACTTTCTTCTCTCAGGAGTCAACTTGTCAAGAATAGAGGGTATTTACTCAGGTTTTTGAAGGGATTTAAGAAGAACCTGCTGGGATGCAACTAGTGGCTCAGATAGGATACTGGTCAAGAAGAGGGAAGGACTACCTAATACCTTGATAGAAGAGATAGGGAATACTGACCAGAAGTAAAGGAAATAGAGGAAAAAACAGTTTCACTGTTATAAGACTGAAATAAATTATTCAGATAATTTCTAAAGTTTCTGGCTTTGTTTGCTTAGGAAAGGCCTGTCTTTTTTTCCTTGGTCTTAACTATTTTAATTTCACCTACTATTAGAGGTTTTCCTTGAAGTAAACTGGATTGTCATTTTTTTTAAAAAAGCAATAACTTTACTAATACAGTACTTCATTATTAGAAGTACAGAATAATTGATAAGTACTTACCTGTTTTGTGTGTACTATAAAGCTCATTTTATTTTCCATACTATGGATCTGAAAGCATGTATCAGCATCTCCCAATTGCCACATAAAACAACCATACTTAAGGCTGATGAGTAGAGCCTGCAACATAATTAGAAATCGTTTTATTGAAATATATATTAATTATATTATATAGCCAGGTCTAAATATAATAATTTTACCTAGTCAGGTCTAAACATAATAATTTTGAATGTTAGAATAAAACCTATTCAAAGCGCCCACACTAACCTCACATAACCTGTAGTACAGAGCCACATACGTGGTAGACTCTCAGGAGACTGCTTTGAGCAATGATATTCTTTGTTATCAGATTGACAAAAATTTTCAAAGATGCCCATTCTATGGTGTGTATTTGTATGTAGATATACACACACATAAATATTATTCAGCCATGAGAAATAAGGGAATCCTGCCATTTGTGACAACATGGATGGCCCTTGAGGGAACTATGCTAAGTGAAATAAGTCAGACAAAGAAAGGCGAATACCGCAGGACATTACTTATATGTGGAATCTTTTTAAGCCAAACTCATAGAAACAGAGAGTAGAAAGGTGGTTATCAGGGGCTGGAGGGTGGGGGAAATCAAGGAAATGCTGGTCAAAGAGTACAAACTTTCAGCTATAAGAAGAATAAGTTCTGGGAATCTAATGTACAGCATGATGATTATAGTTAATAATACTGTATTATATATTTGAAAGTTGCTAAGAGAGTAGATCTTAAACGATCTCACTACAAAAAAGAAATGGTAATTATGTGAGGTGATGGAGGTATTAGTTAATGCCATGGTGATAATCATTTTGCAATATATGTGTATCCAATCAACACGCTGTACATTTTAAACTTACACAATGTTATATGTCAACTATATTTCAGTTAAAGCTGGGGGAAAAAAATGATGCCCATTCTATCAGTGACTTTCAAGAAAATTAAATTTACTACAAGTTTTTACTTTCTGCATGTTAAAAACAGTTCCATTTACTTTTATTTAATACCTTTTGAATATTCACATAGTACTTTCAGATCTGAAATTTATGTAATAGGGGTAACACACTGACTTAGGCAATTTCATTTCACTGAAAATAAGTACCCTGATATATTTATTGTAAAAATAAGCATAATTTAAAAAATTAATAATATACTCTTCATAAATTCAACAGAACTATTTAAAAAACAATGTTAGAGTAACCTATTCCTATACTTTCCTAACATAATGGTATATTCAAGTAGGCATTCAATATATCCTTTTTTGCTTTTTTTTTCGTGAGGAAGATTGGCCCTGAGCGAACATCTATTGTCAATCTTCTTCTTTTTGCTTGAGGAAGATTGTCCCTGAGCTAACATCTGTGCCAATCTTCCTCTATTTTGTATGTGGGACGCTGCCACAGCATGGCTTGATGAGCGGTGTATAGGTCTGTGCTTGGAATCTGAACCCACGAACCCCGGGCTGCTGAAGTGGAGTGCACAAACCCAACCACTATGCTACCAGGCGGGCCCCCGATATATCCTTTTGATTATTTTTTTAAATAATTCTCTCCTAGCAGTAACTTGCATTTTCTTGCCCTAAAAATAAATTTTTTATATATACATATACAAAGAAAGTGTTCATGCGATCCTTTAAAATATGTATGTTTAGAAACATTAGCTTTCTATGACTAGCAGTTCTTAACACACTGATTGTAAATAAACTAAGGACATGCAAAAAAGATAATGGCTTAGGGCATTTTAAAGTGAGGTTCTATAAATGAAACACAGTATAATTAATTTACATGAATGTATATCATGTGTAATGGGAACCAATAATGTCTTGTTTAAAAATAGCTATCTACATTTATGTTGTAAAATATAACTTTATAGATAGGATATGGTAAAGAGCTACTTACCAAGGTACACACTGAAACACTGAGTCAAGATATCATAATACCTTAAACTGCCTAGGTTTTGGATCAGTCACTTGAAATTTATTTAATCAAGAGGCAAGAAACAGTCCATTAATATGGCCTCAAAACAGTTTAATATACAGAAAAAAAATACATCTGTAGTATAGCAACTCGTCAATTACACAGAGGTCAAATTACCCACAAAAGTACTAAGGCCATGAGTTAAAAAACAAAGATTTTGTTGTTAAAGGACAATATGCAGGGAGGAAGGAATTCTTGACAAATCCACAATAATGAAAACAGCTGAATGGACTTGAAAAGCGAAAGAGTTCACTTGGTGGTTTTGAGAGATCAGTCTGCTCCAAAAGGAAAAGGCAGCTCTCATTAGAAGGTAAAACCTACAAAGGGCAAGGTGCTTAATGAGGGAAGTCAAAAAGCACAAGAGAAACGGCCAAGATAGTTGAAAGCAGAAAAAGGAAAACCAGAGTCAAAAGCAGCATATAGCCAACCAGGACAGATAGGAGAAATAGTGATGTCAAGAAGTGATCATTCAAACACCACATCTGACTGGGCAAGAGAAACAATAGAAAAAATAAACAAATGGGACTACATCAAACTAAAGAGCTTCTGCACAGCAAAGGAAACCATCAACAAAATGAAAAGACAA